CCAGTAGCCCTTCCTAGAGGGATAAGGACAGAGAGAACAGCTAAATATTCATATGAGTGAGACCCATATGTGGGACCCCTTTGTTCACAAATTATTAAGAATTTCAAGGTGGGGGCACCTGGGTGGCTCAGACGGTTAAGCGTCTGCCTTTGGCTCAGGTCATGATCCTAGGGTCCTCGGATCGAGCCCCATGTCAGGCTCCCTGCTCCGCGGGAAGCCTGCTTCTCCCTCTCCCCCTCCCCCTCCCTGCGAGTGCTCTCTCTCTCTCTGTCAAATAAATATATAAAATCTTTAAAAAAAAAAAAGAAAGAAAGAAAGAAAGAAAAGATAGAGAAGAAAAGGGACACCTCAACAAAGGGAGTGCTTATTCTACTGACTTTTGGATTCCTTTTTGTATATATGAATACTTTGATCTCTCTCTGAGTAACAGGAATTACCACAGTGACAAAAATATTGATAATAGCCAACTCTTATGTAGTATTTACTGCGTGGCGGGTACTGTTCCAAATACTTGACCTGTGTTAACTCATTTAATCTTCCTACAACTATATGTAGATGTGGGAACTGCTGTTCCTATTTTACAGCCAAGGAAATGTAGGTCCAGAGAAGTTTCAAGTCTTTTGCTCAAAAGTACACAACTTGTACATGATAAAGCCTGGTTCAAAACCCAAGCTGTCTCAACTTCAGGATCCACGTTCTCTTTTATATTCTATATTTACATACATGAAGAACAGAAGGCCCCAAACATACTTTATTAATATAGTTAGCAATTTTGTGAATAACAATAATTTTACAACTAATTGTTTAAGCAAATATTTTTCTAGATTGTATACTAAATAGGAGTATGTTTGTATTTCTACAAGTTTGTTTAATATGGTTTGCATTTTATATTTAAAAGTAAATTCAGAAAATGCTTTACATATCAACACTTAATAGTAGTATAACGTATGAAAAGCATAGGTTCTGAAGCCGGCCCACCTGGGCCCAAATCCCAGCTCTATAATTTTCCAGTTGGGCACATGACTATGTCTTTCTGCCTCGGTTTTCTTTTTTTTTTTTTTAAGATTTTATTTATTTATTTATTTGAGAGAGAGAGAGAGAGAAAGAGCATGAGAGGGGAGAGGGTCAGAGGGAGAAGCAGGCTCCCTGCTGAGCCAGGAGCCCGATGCGGGACTCGATCCCAGGACTCCGGGATCACGACCTGAGCCGAAGGCAGTCGCTTAACCAACTGAGCCACCCAGGCGCCCCTCTGCCTCGGTTTTCTTATCTAAAACAGTACCTTTATCATAAGGTTGCTATAAGGATTAAATAACTTAATATTTGTAAAGCATGTAGAATATAATATGGAATGTATTTAGGCCCTATATATACATCTGTTAAATAAAATATATCTACCATGTACATGATTCTGGGCATAGGAGATGAAGCTTCAGAAAAAGCAAGTCCTCTACTCCGTGCAGGTTAGTGACTGACCTTCAAAAGTGTTTTTAACCTTAATTCCTAGGTTTCCTCTATCTCAGGAGCCAGGAGGTAGGATCAGGGAATTGGGAAACAGGAAGTGAGAGCATTTCAGAGTCAAGACTGCAAAGTCATAAAATGGAAAATCAATAGTTCTGAATTACAAGATTAGACAGGCACCAAATATTTGGACAGAGGCCCAATAAAGACAGAATGCCGCTTAGGGTACACATTATCTTAGGAATTGAAATGGGGCTGGAGTGGGTGGGACAGGGTAGGAGAAGAGAGAGAAAAATTTCTGGAGAATTAGGGAAACTGGTAAAATACTCATTCTTACTAATCTGTTTAATTTGATACTACATTGCCTTTATTTGGCGCACTCTGTTGTATTTTAAAATGTGCAGTTGTGTGTGCAGCTGTGTTGAGCAATCTATTTAATATCTCTGTGCCCCAGTTCTCTCATCTGTAAAATGGAGATAATTATAGTACGTTCCTTGTAGAATTATAGTATGTTCCTTCTAGAATTGTAGTACATTCCTTCTAGAATTGTAGTACGCTCCTTCTAGAATTGTATCAAATGAGTTAATATTGCAAATGCCTGGAATAGTGCCTGACACAGGGAAGGAAGACTGTGCGTTCACTCCTCTTATCCATGTGTTCATAGGTTCACTCCATTCCCTGCTCCCTGTGTAAGCCTATTCTTTTCCCACAAATAAATTATTTTTTAAGTAATGAAAAGCCCTGGATTCTTGATGTAACGTTCACTTAATATAGAGTCAATCTTGAGTTCATTCAAAGAAGTGAAAAACCAAAGTAAAACTATTCAAAGGAGTCATGATATAAGGATTTTATAAACATGGTACGTGGTCCAGTTACTTATTTATTTATTTATTCTTTTTATTATGTTATGTTAATCACCATACATTACATCATTAGTTTTTGATGTAGCGTTCCATGATTCATTGTTTTGATCAAAGAGCCATGGAAGCCTGAGGAGCAAGGGACAGCTGCCTGGAAGAGCTAGGAAAGCTTTAGAGAAGATGTCTTGGAGTCGGCTTAGAGAAACACGTGTGAGTTTCTCAGGCAATGAAGATAGAAAGATGTTTTCAGATAAAGAACCACAAGTAAAGGTCATTCTGTACTTGGAAAGCATTGTGTTAGCATAAAGGTCATGTTGAGAAGTGTGCAAATAACCTGGAAAAGTCGTGTGGGAGTCAGTTTATGAACAGTAGTCTTGAATAGGGGCATGAGATGATCCAAGCTGTGTTTTAGGGCTGTAAGTCTGGTGGCCACGTCACATAGTGGGAGGAAGACTGTCATAATGCATCCAAAGAGGAAGTGAGAGATGATGAGGGCCTGAACTCAAGGCATTGGCGATGAGGACGGAGAAGCTGGAGTGAGAGATGTCTCAAGCAAAATTGATAGGGTTTGGTCGTCAATCGTCTATGAAATTGAGAAATTGAAATTGATTCTAATGTTTCTGCTATCTACGGAGATCACAGATTTCTCAAGGGAAGGTGATGTGTTTCTTATGTGTATGTGATTTTGCCTCAGTTTGGTACTCAGAAACTTCTTTGCATCTTTATGTTAGGTTCAACATGTACGTATCCTGTCTACTTGATGAGATTATAAATATTTGTTGAATGAATGAATGCGTGTAGGCTAGTGAAGGGATAGAAGGCTATTCGTGTTCAAGGAAACTACCAAATCACTACACCATGGAGGGAAAGGTGGGATTGCGAGCTTTCTCTAAGTGGAGAGTCTGAGGGGAGTAGGTAGTATCGTTTTAGGTGATAAGGTAGTAAACAGGAATGAGGTGGACCTTCATGGTTCCCATGAAATGACTTTGCAGGCCTGGTCAGGGATCTGGAACCGATAGGAAAGCATCTGGAGAAGATAAAGTCACGGTCAGTGCTGTGATGATTCTTGTGGTGACAGTAACATTTGCTTTCTGTTCGTTTTATTTGGTTTGCAGCATAGACGACCTGTACTGCTTTGTGTGTACATGTGCCTACTCCTTTCCCCGTTCCCCAAGCAAAAGATCCAGGCTCCTTGTTGGCAGGAACCATAGTTCAGTCTATATGCGAGGCTCCATAAACATTTGCTAAGGTTGTTTATTTGTAGACAGAATCACTTGAACTAGAATAGTGGTGAGCAACCTTGTATTCGTGAAGCACAATATAAAATATCTACAGTTTTGCTGAGTCCCTTGGTCTTTTTAAAAATTAGAATACCTCTACACGAGTAATGAAGCATATTGCTAACATATGTCAGCTTTGGAGCCAGACTGCCTGGGTTCAAAATCCAGCTTTCCCTCTGCATGACTTGGGCAGCTCACTTGAACTCCGTATGCTTTGGTTTCATCAACTGTATGAAGGAGGTTATAGTAGTCCTTACCTCACAGGGTTTTGTGAGGATCAAATTCATGAATACATGTCAGTTTCCTTCTTTCTTTCTCTTTTTTAAATTTTATTTATTTATTTGACAGAGAGAGAGAAAGAGAGAGAGAGCACAAGCAGGAGGAGCAGGCAGAGGGAGAAGCAGGCTCCCCACTGAGCAAGGAGCCTGAATCAGGGCTCGATCCCAGGACCCTGGGATCATGACCTGAGCTGAAGGCAGATGCTTTATGAACAGAGCCAGCCAGGTGCCCCACCCCTACCTGTCAGTTTCTTAGCACAGTAGCTGGCAACGGCAAACACTCGTAACCCTTAGGTGTTGCTACGGTACTCCATTGAGAGTGTCAATGAGAAAAGGGGCCTAACATTTAAAAATGTTTTCTGGGCATTTTAAAGAAGCGACAGTGCAGAGGCAGCTTCCTCATCTTTCACACTGTCCTTCGTGTGCTGTGTGTGGGGCGCAGGCAAAGCCAGGTTGCGTGGTTCCGGGGCCCAATGTATGTCAGCCTGCACTGCCATCCGAGGCTGTCCTGGGTTCACTGGCACGCTTCACTTGCACTCCCACGGTGTCCTTAAACCAACCCCTCGATAGAGGATAATCAGGAGGAAACTGAGGTCACACATGCCACTAGCTGTAAAGCTTAGGATAACATTCGTTCATTTCACTGGAAGCAATATTTATTAAGCACCTATTGGGTACCAGGCCTTAGGGATAGAGAGTCGAAAGACTCGCCACCTCCGTCTGTCACCAGAGTCCTCATTACATAGGATATTTTCGCCCTAATCTGGGCTCAACGGGGCGAATTGTGTAACACGGCTGCTCTCTGGTTCCCACGTGCTCCCATCCTGAGCGCTCACTGCACTGGGCTGAGTCCAGGTCCTGGAGGCCCCAGCTGGAGGGCCAAGGTGCTGCCTTCCCACGGAGGTGCACTCCACAGGCGCCTGCAGACCAGTGATTATGACAAGCGCAGTGTCTGCAACTCTGGTCACCTTGGAGCTAACCCATACCCACCCATCTCCACCCCTACCCTCCACCCATCACTTTGTACCTTTTCCCTGAACTCAGGCTGCCTCTGTATTTCTCTGAAAGGCTGAGTTTTAAACCAGGCTTTGAGCTACAGATGAAAGTAGGTGACTTGGAGCCTGTGGGCCTCAGATGGATTGTCACTATTCCAGATGTTCTCCGAATTCCTTGCAAGCTATAAAATTCTCTGAGCCTTTGAGTGGTTTAGGGCTGATGACAGTGTAAGCAGTGTTACTATTTATATTTATTATTCTGTATTTGTGTTCACAGTTTTCTGCATAATTTTCATTGAGAAGATCTTGTTATTTTAAAGAAGTATCTGTTTCAAGCTTTTAAAGAAAAAAATTGTCTCAAGCTTCATGTACAGTAAGATTTCATTTGGCTTCGTTGCTCTGATTAATTTCTACTCTTTCCTTCTGATCTACAGTTTGGGGATATGGACTCCTGTCAGTGACAATTATTAATCTGGCATCTCTCCTCGGATTAATTTTGACTCCATTGATAAAGAAATCTTATTTCCCTAAGATTTTGACCTTTTTCGTGGGTCTGGCTATTGGGACTCTATTTTCAAATGCCATTTTCCAGCTTATTCCAGAGGTAAGGATGTTGGCTCTTTGTTTCTGTGAATAATTGTTTCTTTTAAATGTTTTAGCACTTTGTACATTTTAACGCTCCATAATTCTCACAGCATTTTATGGTCTGGTTGATAGTGTTGGATAAGAGAAAGCTGAATCACAGCAGATGAAAAAGCTTGTCTCAAGCTACAGGGGATATCAGTGTCAGAGATAAATTAATATTCTAGGAGGCCAGCCACCAGGACGTGCTCAGACAGCTCTGGGACACCTCTGAGGGCCTTAAAAATTTATTTTGTCTTGCATTTGGCAAATTTAATTTTTCTATGTACTTTTATTATTTATTTATTTTCTAAAGAGCCTACAGTGTCAGATTTACTGAAGATATACCACAAAATGTCCTTAGACATTTACTGCAGCTTTTATTTAAGTTTGTATGTCTTGTCTGTTAGGAAAACCTTGACTCTTTATAATTTCAAACTCTAGCGCTTGCCCTATGTCCTTTAAACAGTAGATTATTTCATTCTCATGTGTGTGTGTGTGTGTGTATGTGTGTGTGTGAAAGAAATCTTTTCTACTTCATTCTTGGGCCCAGCCCTTGAGTTCTTTATCTCTTTAGGGCCTAGTAGGATCCTCTAAGTTTAAAAGGATCTCTCTTGGGAAAACAGTAATCCAAATGGCTTGTCATATTTGCTTTTAAAAATTTGAATCTGGGTATGATGGACAAATATATTTTAGAGAAAATGGATTATCAATGTCTCATTTTTCTTCATTACCTAGATCTAATATTATCTATAAAGGGAATCAGTGCTTCACTTTTACTACGAAAAGCTTTCTCTTTCAAGGCAAATATTGCTGAAGGTAGGAAACTATAAGATATGAAACTATCTTATAGCTAGGAAACTATAAGATACTCTGAGGGTTTTATTAATAGAAGTTCCTCTGGTATAAGACTCCTCTGTGATCTCTTACAGTTTAGTTACTTAAGTTTCAGAGTTTTTGTTTTGTGATTTTGGTGGTTAAATTCCCAATATTACCTGATCTGAAGATGGACTTAGAACTTTGGTGAAAATTGTATACTGAAAGATTTCTTATTATTTTTCAGAAATCAGGTTAAATTACTTGGTTTTACTTGAATTTTTTTTTTTCTCTCTCAGGCATTTGGATTCAATCCCAAAAGTGACAACTATGTTGAGAAGGCAATTGCTGTGTTTGGTGGATTTTACATACTTTTCTTTTTTGAAAGAGTGCTTAAGATGTTATTAAAGACATATGGTCAGGTAAATAGATTTTATTGAAAATGTTTGATGTTTGACCCCTTAAAGCTACTTTATATAGCTTTATAGGCAAATAAAGGCAGAAATTTTATTCTTTTTTTTTTGAGAGAGAGAGAGAGGACGCAAGCAGAGGGGAGGGGCAGGAGAGAGAGAGAGGATTTTAAGCAGACTCCACGCCCAGTGCAGGGTCTGCCACAGGGCTTGATCTCACAACCCTGAGATCATGACTTGAGCTGAAATCAAGAGTCAGATGCTTAACTGACTGAGCCACCCTGGTGCCCCAGGAATTTATTCTTATGATTATGTGAAGCTCAGTTATTAGACTTGTGAATGTGAGGAGAAAGAAAAGTCAATATATTGATAAATATAAGAGAAACGATTGACAGTGTATAATTTGGAATAAGTACCAACAATTTAATGTCAAGAAAAATGTGCACAATTTGTATTCATTCATGTTCATCAAAATAAGAAGGCATATGTACCCTAACATGAAAAAACAATCTAATAAATGAAGATACATTTGTAAATCTAAAAAGATTATATATTGAATAGACATACAAATTTTCTCTTACAAATAAAAAGCACTAAACTCTCTACTTTCTTGTATGTGTGAGCCATCATTTTTTATTCTTATAACCTCCTCTTGCTTTTTAAATTTTTTCATGTAGAATGATCATACACACTTTAGAAATGATGACTTTGGTCCTTCTCATGAGAAAACTCATCAACCTAAAACGTTACCTGCCATCAATGGTGTGACGTGTTATGCAAATCCGGCTGTCACAGAGCCTAATGGACACATCCATTTTGATAATGTCAGTGTGGTATCTCTACAGGTATGATGATTCCATTTTCTCTTTACTATATTGCATCCTTTATATAATGTGAAGGCTTCTGTGAATGCAGCCAAATCAGTATTTTACACACGTGAATGTGTCTGACTTATTCTTGTGTCTGTGAGATATGTGGAATGTAAGTCTATATTCTTTTTCTAATTTTCCTCCGTATATTTACCTGAACAAGTGAGTTAAGCAAGAAATTGAGGATTACTGGATCTGAGACTTTATTATTCTCTAAGATTATTTAACTATATGTATGAGTTACTTAGATTTATACAGTGATATGTAGCAAAGTAATCAGAGCATTTCTCTTATTTTGCAATTCTTTCAAGATCCAAAACCAAAGAATCCCTTTGAGTAATTTTGAAACTGTAAGAAAAAAAGATTTGTAAGCTGTTAAAATTGTGTTCATTAATTAATTGATTTAGAATTTGTATCCCCATCTTCTAAATAATGTTAATAGGTATCATTTCTTGAGTGACTATTATATGCCAGGTAGTATGCTAGGCCCTTAATTGTTTTATCTCATTTACTTTTAATTTTTAAAAAAGATTTTATTTATTTATTTGACACAGAGAGAGAACACAAAAGTAGGGGGAGCAGCTGAGGGAGAAGCAGGCTCCCCATGAGCAGGGAGCCCGATGCGGGACTCGATCCCAGGACCCCGGGATCATGACCTGAGCCGAAGGCAGAC